GACTGGTTTGGCTCAAAAGAGCAACAATTTTTTTGGCGTGGCATCCACAAATTGTCAGACAGGTGGGAAAAATGTATAGCTAGCGATGGGCAATACTTAAAATAAAATATTTTTTATCATTTTCATGCAATAAACGTGTATTTTCTATTAAAAAATTCCAGTTTCATATTTACATACCTGGTAAGTAATCAAGTTAGTAATAAACATACATACCCAAATAACATTCCTTGGCATAAGAAAAAAAATAAGTGCTTAGCACAAGTTTCTCTTTAATTGCCATCATGTTGCTATCACCAGGGCAATAATAATTTCGTTTAGGTCAATCTAGAGGCATTATGTGGACAACGGTTGTTTGCGCAAACGAGTGGAAATGTTGTAACAAATTTATTGCCATAAATGTTGCTACAATCTGTTGGAAATCGTTTTTGTAAAATATTTAGTCCACATTTTTGTCAATCGAATGGAAATAGAGCGTCGTCGAACAGTATGCGGTACTGCCACCAAAGGGCATCGAGTTAAATTTCTCGATTTTAAAAAACGACTTAGAATAGAATAAAAGACGCAATATTAGAAGATTTTTCGGCTGTTTTAATGAAATAATGTTTTGAAGTGAGTCCCAAAGTGGGGGGCTCTAAGATGAAAGGTATAATACTTTTCTTGAAATGTTTACCGAGTAAATGAAATCTTCCTTACTTTAATATGTATTTTGTTCTGCTTTGTAATTTTATTCATAGTAACACACTTTTCAACCAAGTGAGTAAAATGTCTAAAATCAACTCATAAGTTACTTTATAAGATATCTTACAGAGTTCTTTATGAAATATCTTAAAGATGTTTCTTAAAGAACTTTTAAAGATATTTTAAAGTTCTCTTGTGAGTCGACTTTAAACATTAGGAAGCATTGTTAGAAGAGGTTAACCCTTTTTACTGCAACAGGTTTTTTCATATTGCTATCAAATTTGTTTTATGTAGAATTAATTTCCATCATGTTGCCGTGCGATTGTCCTAATTTATAAAACTTATAAAAGAGAAGAGGAAAATTGTTTCTCTCCGGTTGTGCATAACCATTTATGGTATATATTGCCGCCAATATCATATGCAAAATCGGAACCCGCTTTCCTAAAAAAAGATGGCAATTCGGACGACGCAATTTGTATCAAATTTATAGCAACATGCGGGAAATTTACTATCTGGGTATATTAGGTCAAATATATTTTCATATAATTTTTGAAATAATTCACGTATAGGAGTTTTAAAGCAACAACTGTAGAAAAGAAATCCATTTCGTTTTCCAATTAATAAATAAAAAATTATTTATAATATTTTTATCATATATTGTTATAATATTATAATAATTTATAATATTATATTATCATCACTCAAGGCTTAGTACAGTCGAAACGTTTCAGGGTGGCCAGCAATCCATTTTCAAATTCGAGGTTTTTTCCCGGTTTTCCAGTTCTAAAAGTAGGGATTTTCAAGGTTCTTAATATTAAAAAATTACACACATATATATTATACATACAAAAAATATATAGTATATGTAACTAGGATGGCTCTTATTTACCTTTGATAAAAATTTTTTTTCGAATTTTGTTTGCGGCATTTCCCAAAACTGTTCCAATTTAAGAAAAAAAAATCTGCCAAATTTCAGCCCAATCGGATAAGAAGAAAACGTGCCGCCGGGCTACTGAACTTTATTATAAAATGAAAAAATCATCGATTTTCTGAATATCTTCTAACTTATTGAACTTATCAAAAAAAGTTTCAAACAAAAGTTGTAGATTTGAATATGGGGCATATTTTATGCCATGTTCATTTTTTCGTACGAATGATTTTCGAGAAAAATAAAAAAAACAGGAAATAGATTAAAAATTGTTAGTGATCTTCTTAATTGACTTGAATATTTTTAATTAAAGGAGGCATAAATATATATATTCTTGATTTTTAACTTAAAAGGGTCATTTTAGAAAATTTTAAGAATAATTTATAAAAACAATGTTAGAAACCGTTGATATAAAATGCTGTAATTAAGATTAAAAAGTAATTCGTATTTAAGAAAAATTTAGAATATTTTATTTTATTGTCTCTCTCTCTCTCTCTCTCTCTCTCTCTCTCTTCATAATAATAGATTATTTTATCATATCTTAATGTAATGAATTAAGATAATTACAAATTAACACATTTTTTATATAGATTATTTTTATTATATAACTTTCAGTCTTATAAAATCTTATATCATTTTAGACAATGTCTTTTTTATAGTCGGGGAAACCGACGGTGGTAATCATTTACAATTTGCAAAATATATTGTGCTTGTTCTGCGTTCTTGTGAATAATCTATTATAATTTTCCATCAATTGAACACCCCTTTCTACAGTATCATTAATAACTCGTAGTTTATTCACTGCTTCCAGCCCTTTTTGGAAACTAGTGTTTTCAGACCACAAGTTGATGGGTCTGTTTGCAAGAATTGATCATCTAATTCATATCTTTTAAAAAAAGTTTTAGTTTTGACGGAAACGCGAAGTATTCAAATCCCTTTTGCATACATTCAAAAATTTCTTCATCTTTTATTAATACTCGCTTAATATTTTCTAATAGCAAAGTCAAATAAAAAAATGCCAATGCGATAGCTTCATTCGCTGCGCTCCCACTTGGCGTGAGACACTACCGTGTCTCTTGATCTACGTTGAAGCATGGTTTAATGTGTCTTCTGCTACTAAAGCATCATATTAGGATTTAAGTTTCTACCTAAGTTTTACGAATATCGAACGATTGATCATAATATTTCTCGAATTACTTTGCATAAATTGAGGAACCATTTATGGTACTTAAGCCCTGAAGCTATCGCATTGGTATTTTTTGATTTGACTTTGCCATTAGAATTGAAGCAAAAGATGATTGATGCTTTAAATCGTGAATCATGTGACGAAAATATTAATCGAGTATTAATAAAAGATGAAAGAATTTCTGACTTTATGCAAAAGGGATTTGAATATTTCATTTCTGCCGAAATTAAAAATTTTTTTAAAAGATTTGAATTAGATGATTAATTCTTGCAAACAGACCCATCAACTTGATTTGAAAACACTGGTTTCAAAAAAGAGCTGAAAGTAGTGAACAAATTACGAGTTATTAATGGTAAAGCAGAAAGGGGTATTCAATTGATGGAAAATTATAACAGATTATTTATAAAGAACGAACAAAAACAAAAAAAAAACAAGCACAATATGTTCTGCAAATTGTGAATGATTACCACCGTCGGTTTCTCGGCTATAAAAAAGAGACATTGTTTAAAAAGATATAAGATTTTATAAGACTGTAAGTTGTATAATAAAAATAATCTATATAAAATATGTTAATTTGTAATTATCTTAATTCATAATATTAAGATATGATAAAATATTCTATTATTATTATGAGAGAGAGAGAGAGAGATACAA